TGTTCTTTAAATCGGCAGCTATTTCCACCAGGTTTTTCGAGTTGTTCGTAGCTCGCTGCGTGAGTTCTCCGGGTTTTAGTCTGCAGTCGTTTAATGACGACGTGGTGGGGCCTGCATTTGCACCCACTATCCGTGCCGGTCCTGGGCTTCCGACACCCTGTGACAGTAACATTATTTCCATTATTGTGTCTATTTTCATATTGTATTTATTTTCGGGGTTCCTTCCCTTAGGTCCTAAACCAGTCTTCCATATAAGTGTGTGATGTGTGAATGAAAGTGTTGTGTAAACTCCGCAATGTACTGCCCCGTGAGGCAGGGTGCGCGGAGGTTTGTGCATGAAAGTGTATTTATGTCTGTCTTATATGCAACGCATGGGTCTCATGTGTTACATGGGTCAGTCATGTGTGTAAGAGTATTTTCAAGTAAGTGTAAGTGTTGGATAGTCTTTTGGTCAAGGTGAAATCGCGAAAGAATATACGGGCTGCCCCGCCAGTTGAGCGACACCTGCCCTGCCCCCCCCCCCTTCGAAGGAAAAAATCAATACGAAAACCGACCTTGAGTACGTCAACGTATTGACGCCCCAAACTCCAAGCTCCGGATAGCCCGACTTAACGGGATCACGAGTCAGACGGAAGGGAAACTCATCTTTATCGAGAATCGACATCCTCAAGTCCAGGGAGAAACCGAGAAGATGCCCCTCCCCGGAAGGGAGAGCGCGAAAGTCCCAACGTTTCCACCTCTAGGCCCAAAGTCCCTAAGCAAAAAAAAATAATTATAATAATCTCCGTTGCTGGTTGTCCACTGCCGAACATCATTGATGTCTTAGATGTGCTGGGAGAAGCGGGTCCACTGCCAAACATTATTGATTTCTTTGATGTGCTGAGAGAAGTGGTCCCGCTGCCAGACACGACTGGCATCATGGATATGTTCGGTAGACCTTGCCGTGGTGGCGGGGCTTTTCACTAAAGGGCAACCAAACAGCAAGAAAGAATGGATTCACAAAATTCAAAGAAAGTACCCCATGTGAGCAGGCCGGAAACGGGAAATCTCACCATCGGTCCCAAGACTGATGTTCAAGTGCGCGCGGATTGTGGGGGCGCACAATTTCTTGCAGTGCCACGGGTGATCGTGGAAAGATTAGATTCACAGAACATCGTGGAAAAAGAAAGAATAAGAAAGGGAAGCGCGTCGAACCTTCTGAGTGTGTCAAGCTGCAGTAGCGGAAAGACCGTACATAGCGCTATCCACTCAGAAGTAGACGACGAGGCGATAGAAGAGACTCGTGAGATATGCTCGCGGCTCAGAAAGTAGGAGGCGACTTGCCTCGACAAAATGGAGTTGGAGGTCGCAAAGATAATAAAATCTTGTGACATTTAGAAGAACGTCAACAGTACGGTAAAAGATGGACTCAGAGCCATCGAAGTCCTGTTGAAAGAGGCAAAAGTAAAGCATGTCGCAGCCGATGAGTCGGACTTCGATTTAGCATGCGTTCTCAGCGGTGCGGAGTGTAACCGCAAGGACCGTAAGGAAAAGAGAGAGCGTTCCTATAAGCGTAATCTCAAAAGCCTCCTAAGAGATGCTCAAAAACGGAAGCGAGAGGGTGACATTCCAGGGGAGACTCGAACCCAAACCGATAAGGGGAAAAAGGAGGAAGCTCCTCCAATGAAAACGGAAGTACCAGATCCAAAGATTCTTCAAATGGAAAGAATGGGGTCAAAAAGATCCGCAGTTCTAATCTAAGTCGGTCAAGGATTAACGTATGCTGACGTTCTAAGTAAACTTCGCCAAGAGGTCAACCCGGACGACTGCCATACGAGAATAGTAGCAGCAAAAGCTACAAAGAAGGGAGACCTTCTGATTAAGATCAGAGGAGGCTCCGACAAGGGTACTTTCACCGCTTAGGTCACCAAAGCGGTTGGAAGCATGGGTAAGGTGCAGTCGTTGGATTGAAGAGTTACACTCGAGATCCGTGATTTGGATTGCCTTACCCAAGAAGCCGAGGTGCAACAAGTGTTGTCGGAAGCGATAGGAAAGCCAGGATGCATGAAAGTGACGGTCTTAGGACCCAACCGCCGAGGGATGAAGCTCGCGGTTGTAGTCACCAACCCGGAAGAGGCGAACAGGCATAAAAATTGGTTTCATGTGTTGCCCAATTAAAAAAAGAGTAATGATTGTCCGGTGTCATCGATGCTTGGGATATGGTCATATTGGAGCGAAATGCCAGAAGGTGGACAGATCGGCTGCGTGCTTTAAGTGCGGTGAAGCCGGTCACAGGTTCTCCAACTGTAAGAAGAGCCCAAGTTGCTTTTTATGCAAGGAAAAGTTTGGCAATAAAGTGTCAACCACCCATATTGCAGGCAGCGGAGGATGCAGAGTCTTCAGGACAGCCCTTGAGGAGGCGAAGAAGACTCTCGCAAGAACTAAAAGCAAATAAGGAGTATTAAAAGGAGCTAATAATTTATTTTATTTATTTAAATTATTTATTTCTTTTCTTGTGGTTATTTACTGTCTTTTTACATTTTTATTCTTCTAACTTTTATATATTTGTTTAGTTATTCTTTTATTTGATTTATTTGTGTTTTTATTTAACTTGTCCTTTTACAATTTTACCTTTTGACCTTAATACATTATGACGGTTCTTTTAATAATAAATTCAGAAAATATACAAAATCCCAAATATTTTATTAATTCCCTTAGTCGTCAAAAATCAAATTTAACACCGAACATGGCATGTCAGACGCCAGTTAGTTTTATTTGTCGAAAAACTAACAAAAACAATAATACAGAGAATCAGTAATTAATAATAATAATTTGTCAATACTTCTCACTAGTCAAAATTAACAATCTCAAAGGAGATTCCGTTGGGAAAATTAGAAAAGGGAAAATCTAATTTCAGAGACACGACCTTTTTAGTAAAACTCTACTTACTTGTCTTATTGTTGATTTATTAATCCTTTCGTCTTTATAGGACTATTAAAAATTAATAATATGTCACACAAACTTTTCAACTCTTATTTATTCAACCTCACTTATTTTCTTTCTCTTTACATAAATTCAATATAAATCTCTTAACAAATCTCCTCACTTGTCACTACTACGACAACCAAAATTCAACTCTCTTCTTTTTTGTCGTCTGCTACATTTCAATTCGCGCGAGCGAATCGTAAAGGGGAGTTTTCATCTCCCATAAACTCGAAGTCGAAGTTACACGTAAAAATTATAAATTCAAAATAACAAGAAAATGTATTTGACGGAGTTACTACGTCACAAAACTCCCCACTAAGACTTGAACTAACTCTTTGGTTTAAGTCTTACACACACAAAAAAAAATATAATACTACTATAATTCACTCGTCATTTATCCGACGTAAAAATACAAAATAAAATAATATCTCAATAATTCTCAAAATGTTCAAATAAAAAAAAAACTTAATTTTAATTAATAAAAAAAATATCAAGGTCTTGATTAAACTTATTGTCTTTAACAAAACATCTCACTTATTTCTTGTGTACTCTTTCCTCCAGTTCCATTTGTCGTTCCTTGATTAACTGTTGAATCGCTAAGTTAATCGTTTCGCTGGGCAAACCTCTCATTGCTATAGTCACTTCTTGGATCGCTTTTACTAAAGGTATCGCTTGTTCCCTAGTCGACTCATATGGAGGTGGCAGGTCATCATTGTCACTACAAGATGATTTAGAAATTTTGACATCTTCCCTGGTCAATTCAAGATCGTCTGATCTTTTCCGATCCTCAGCAGCTTCCTCCTCCTTTGATTTCTTTCCAGAAGTAAATAAAATCGGGCGTCTAGTCATTGGTGGCGAAGGTGTCTTCGGAATGTTCCACGCCTTTCCATGGGAATCATGACCATCCTTATCCACACTGGAATTTATTTCTGCTTTCCACATGGTAGGTAATAGAGGGTTTCCTTGTCGTCGAAACGTTGTTGGACGTCTTTCCACTTCTTCTTCTTCCTTGTCTCCTTTCGGTGAGAGTTTCTCCTTATTCGAATTTCCCTGGGCTTGTGCTAACAGGAACTTCCGATATCCTTTAGCACAGCGGGGACATGTGGCTACTGTTTGGTATTTCCTTCCACAGTTTTCGCAATGTGCTTCTGTGACAGGTTTTGGACATTTGGAACGGTTATGCCCCTTTCTCCAACAGTTGTTGCATACTCGAGGAGGTGGATCAATAGTAGGGTCAGTCGGAATTGATTCCAAGTCGTTAAACAGGGTCCCGGTCGTTTTCCTTGGTAGAGCCTCGTATTGTCCTTGAGGAAAAGTCTTTTCTCCAACTCCTCTCACTCGTGTCGTCAACATGTCCATCCCAGGTCTATTTGGAGGACCAGGTGGTGTAATTGGTCTAGGGTGTTCAATTTCGTCATCGTCAGTTGGATGTACTATGTCTTCCTTTCTAAGTACTGGATTCCGTAACTTAATTTCCTCGGATTGTTTCTCTTTCAATTTTTCCACTGCAATCGAAGATTTAGGATCTTGAAATTTGATGAATCTGTCAAGTTCATCAACTGCAAGTCGACTTCCGAATTCTTCCCAACTTTCACCCTCTTGTCGTTTTAAAACGGTGTCCTCCATAGTCGCTTTCGGTAATTGGGTTGGGTCAACAATTTCTAGTCCACTGATTTCCGCTTCGTCCAATTTCCTTGAGTTGTCGTGAGGCCGACGAGATATAGCACCTAATGACCTTATATTCCCCGAGTCATGTACTGTGAAGTCTAACAAAGATGGTGGCGATGAATAACCCTCCGGCATTTTAAATTCCTCAGTAGGTCGATGTTTAGATGAAGAACTTCTTCTCATTAAACCTCGTCGTGACATCATTGCTTGATTGGAATATGGCCGAAATTGAAAATTTACTTGTCTCCTCCTCTTCCCTTTGTCTATAGATCTAACCTTCTCTGCCAGGATTACGTCACAACTCCACCCAAGTCAAAAATAGTCAGAGCCTAAAAATAATTAAATAATTAATAAAAATTGCAATTAATTTAATTAGGTGAGTATTTCTTTAGGTCTGTAACATGGATTTTAGGATTTCTGCGAATATCTTGAGTACGTAATATAAAAACTGAAGGAGATAATTGCTTAATAATTTCAAATGGGCCTTCAAATTTCGGAGCTAATTTTGTTGCAAATTTTTGGGCCCCACTCGATAATTTATGAGATTTTCTAAGTACTAAATCACCAACCTTAAAGTTAACTTCATGTCGATTTTTATTATAATACTCAGTCTGTCTATTTTTCTCCTTATCAATAAATTTTGTCACCAAGTCGCGTAAGGCGTCAAGTCTTTTAACCCTGTCAATCCATATCTCGGGAGAGATTCTGTGAACCCTATCCTTCTTCTCGATTTCTCTCCGCAAACTTTTTACTGGTCGGGGGTGTCGACCAAAATTTAAAAATGCAGGAGATGTCTTTGTCGCAGCTTGTGTGGCAGTGTTGACTGCATGTCGAAATTCGTGAATATGCAGATCCCAGTCTCGATGATCATTTCCAATAAATGTAGATATCATAGTCTTCAAGGTCCGATTGCTTCTCTCTATCGGATTAGCTTGAGGGTGATATGGTGGTGTTGTAATATGCTTCACCCCATATTCGTCAAGTGTGTCTTTAAGAGTCTTGTTGTCGTATTCTTTCCCATTGTCAGTCAAAAGAAAGTCTGGAGTTTCCCATCTGAAGAGGATTAATTCTTCGAAGGCCTTAGTCACTGATTTCCCATCTGCAGATCTTAATGGCTTCAGTTCGATCCATCTCGAAAATAAGTCTTGAAAAACAACAAGATATTTGCATTTACTTTTACTTGGTGGAAATTCCATCGTGTCAGCTGCAACTACTGCCCATGGTCTCTCTACTATTCTCTGTCCCATCATTCCTACAGGTCCAGCTTGAGATACTTTATGTAATTGACATTTTACACAATGAGTACAAACTTGTGTACGTCATTCCAGATTCCTGGCCAATAGTATTCCCTTGCAACCCTGTCATAAGTCTTCTCCACTCCTAAGTGTCCCATAGATGGAATAGAATGAGCATCGTCTAACACCCTTAGTCTATGTTCATCTGGCACAACCAGTTTCCATCCGTCTTCATCACCAACAATAGGGAGGAGCAAAGGATCACTACGATGACGGTATAAAAGGTCATTTTCAATTCTCCAACCAGGAAATCTGTTTGGAAATTTTCTGATCATTTCCCGTCGTCTGATGTACCACTGATCCTCAATCGTCTCAAAAGCGTTAATCATTTCGTCATCTTCGGTCATTCTTGATAATGCATCTGGAACTTGGTTTAATGCACCCTTTCTGTGAATAATCTCAAAGTCCCAGTTCTGCATCTCCAAAGCCCATCTTGCGAGTCTTCCAGTCGGATCCTTTAGATTCTTCAGCCACTTCAAAGCTGAGTGGTCAGTAATGGCCTTGAATTTATATCCTTCAATGTAAGGTCTGAACTTTTTTATAGACCAAAGTAGTGCTAGGCACTCCTTTTCCGTCACAGAATAGTTCCTTTCAGCACCAGTCAAAACTCGGCTGATATACATCACTGGATGTTCTCCATCATCAAATTCCTGAGTCAGAACGGCGCCAAGGGCATAACTACTTGCATCACACTGGATTGTGAAAGGCAAATTAAAGTCAGGGCGAGCGAGTACTGGTGCTGTCGTCAATTTTATTTTTAAAGTGTCGAAGGCTTCCTGTTGTTCGTCTCCCCATTCCCATGGTCGTCCTTTATGCAGCATCTTAAAAGTGGCAGTCTGATCTCACTGTCATTTTTTATGAATCTTGAATACCATCCAACCATTCCTAGGAATCTTCCTTAGTTGTTTGACATTTGTAGGTGGTGGATAGCTTCGTACTGCTTCTGTCTTCTCTGGATCTGGTCGTAATCCTTCCTCGTCTAATAAATATCCCAAATATCGGACTTGTGAACATCCAAATTCACACTTGTCAGGATTAACAGCCAGATTTGCTTTCCTCAGTTCCTCTAAAACAAATTCTAACCTTTTTATATGTTCATCAAAGTTGTCCGTCACGATGATGATATCGTCAAGATATCCGAACACATAAGGTTCGACTTCTGGTCCAAAAGAGAGTCAATTAGTCTCTGAAAAGTACTCGAAGCATTCACAAGTCCAAAAGGCATTCGGCAGTATTGCCAAAGTCCTGATCCGGGGATAGCAAAAGCTGTATACTTTTTGCTCTCTTGGGATAATGGAATTTGGTGATAGGCTAGCGTCAAGTCAATTTTTGAGATATATCTGGCTTTTCTCAATTTGTCCAAAATAGAGTCAATGGTCGGCAATGGGTACATGTCCTTTATTGTGACCTTATTAACGTCTCTGAAGTCCAAACATTGTCGAAAGTCACCATTCCCTCTAGGCGTCAAAACTGGAGCTGTCCTCCAATTGCTGCATGATGGCTCGATTACTTTTTTCTTATACAATTCTGCTGTATTTTTCTGTGACCAAGTAATCATTATCGGCGACATACGTCTTTGTCTGTGTTGGACAGGGGTTTCGTCAGTTACCCTGATGTGATGTTCAGTCAAGTTGGTCATTGGTAGTTCTTCCGATGGTGGTAGTACCAATTTTCTCACCAGGTCTTGAATAATATCTTTTTGTTGGTCCGTCAACGCAGAGATACCAGCACATTCAGCATAAATTTCTTCCTCGCCCTCGATAACATCTTTGACACAGAATACATGCCAATCACCATCAAATACTCTCCAGAGACCAGGTCCAAGTTGAACTTCCATATTTCAAGCTTTACAAAAGTCGATGCCCAGAATGATGTCTTGTGTAACTGAACTGAGAACTTTAACGTCAAACTGTTTTGAATGTCCGTCAACTGTTATATTCAGTTTTAACAACCCTGCTGTCTCTGTCTTGCCACCAATCGCACTCCTTATTGAGGTATTGCATGGCTGTAGTCGGTTCCTATATGGCTCTGCCACTCTGTCGCTGATCACAGATATCATCGCTCCAGGGTCAAATAGTGCCTCATAAGAATTGTTGCCGATGTGCATTCGAAAGAAATATCGATTTTCCAGTCGGCTTCCGTCTACATCCTGGTCAATATCAAGGTATGGGTCAGTTGTGCCCTTCACAACCTCTCCCCTCCCTTGGAACATTGATACTGATCCTTTATCAGTATCATTCATCCCCTCAATTAAACTCCGCTTATAAAGTCGATTACTATCCCCACTCTTAGTCTCCATATCCCTAAATGAAAAATTAAATGAGTTTTTCTCATTCTTACTCTCTCCTTCATCCCATGTCAATAGTTTGAATGAGTTTTTCTCATTTAATTCTTCAGTTCCTATTTTATCCTCTTTCCAAATGAGTGGTACCTCTCCACTCTTGTCGTCTACTATCTCGTCACCCGTGTCCCAACTGCATGTTGCACCTTCATTAATAGGGAATGAATTTAAACCTTTAATTTTGTCTAATTTATCCCTATTTTTCCCAATTACTGTAACTTTTTCTTTGTCAAAAGAAATAGTAATTATTGGGTCTGAGGGGGGTTGCTGGGGGGTACAGGCAGTGACTGCGCCCCCCATGGGCCGTTTCCCAAAGCGTTTCTCACATTAATACAATTTGGGCAAGTCAAGAAATTTACCCCCGGAGTTTTGCAAACTAGACAAATTTCTGTCTGCTTTACTCTGCTTAGGGCAATGTGTTGCAATATGCCCAGGTTGTTGGCACACATAACATATTTTTAAAGGACATTCCGACACCCTATGTCCCACTGACTGACAAGAAAAACATGCACCATAAAAAGGGGTTGGTGCACTTGCATTATTTGTTGGACCAGTTTGACCTGCAGCAGTATTAACGGAGTTGTTATTTTGCTGCTTCTTCTTCCATTTTCCTGCCATCATCGCTGCATACAACATGGCTGGATTTGGAGTTGGTGTTGGTGTCATATTGGTGGTAGGGGTCATTTGGTTGAGAGCGTCGACTTTTTCGTCAGTTTTCTCAACTTTCTTCTCCCCTTTTGTCTTCTTGTCCTTTTTCTTCTTTTCGTTTTTCTTCTTACTTTTCTTCTCTCCTTCACTTGTTTCGACAACTCCCTCGTCTTCTATTGCTGCTACTTTCTTTTCATTTTTATTGGTCCCATGTGTCTTATCGTCCTTCTTGGTACCATGGAATGCAGCGGCTGGAAAACGCATTTTGTCTTTCGATGGTGGGGGAACATATCTGTCGTCCAAGTCTTTAACTTTTTCAAATTGTCGTAAATTTTTTTCTAGTTTAGTCAGTGATTCTAAACTCGATGAGTCAACTTGTCTACGGTAAGTAGGCGTAAGGCCTTTGTAAGCAATTTTAACTTGTTGCTTGACTGATAATGGTCTCTTTAAATGTCCCATTATTAGTCTTAAACTTGTCAAATATGAAGAAATCTTTTCTCCTTTTGCTTGTGTTCTAGCCCTGAGTTCGTCAATTACCTCGTCGTCGTCAACTGTTGTTAAAAATTCACGTCGAAAAGCTCTCTTGAACATTTTCCATGTGTCGATTTCTCGTCTGATGGTTCTATACCAACGACTTGCTTGTCCTTTTAAAATACTGGGAATTGAATGTACTAAGTCATCGTCGTCAATTACCATACAATCTTTGCAATCTTCTAGTCTGTTGAGGAAATCTTCAGGGTCAGCATTGTCATCTCCCGAAAATTTAACATCCCAATTAATTAACGTTTTAATTGTTTTTGACCTATTAATTGCTATACTTTTGTCTGATTTTAACGACGATTCACTAGAAATGTCCGAGTCAGAGTCACTTGATGAATCCGTAAATAATGTCCTTCGTACATTCTTTTCTTTATATTTTTTATTAGTTCGTCGTTTGTACTTGTCTTTGTTTTGAGAAATCTTTTTCTCCCTAGTCGAAAATTTGTCGGATTTGTCAGAGTCATTTTCGCTACCACTGTCGTTGTTTGATATTCCCCCCTTGGACAGAATTTTTTTATTTGTCTGTACTGGTTGAGGAATATTTCTATCACATTTGCTTTCTCTTGTTTTATTTTGAATGGGTTGAGAAACATTTATCTTGTCATTATTTTCAAAATTCTGATTTTGATAATAATGTTGGACTTTTTCTCTTTTTAATTGAGGGTTCATATCATTTGGTGGCCATTCAAAATTATTTCCTAATCCCATGTAGTCATTATTTTCATCGATAGGTATAAGAGTATTAGTCATTTGTTTATTTAATTTAATAAACTGTCTAATTTCGGGACTAATACTGAGTCTTGAAACCGATTGTTGTAAACTAATGACATTTGGTGCCATTGTAGCCGAAATAATTGGCTGGGGTGTAGTCATGACCGTTGTAGTAATTGGTGAAGAAAGTGTATGGGAAGTCGTTGTCAAAATCGAGGTAGTAGGGATACTAGCTGTAGTCATTACTGGTGTATGACTCATACTTAAGGGACTTTGTCTATTGTACATTAAACTATTCTCCCCCCTCCTTGCTAACGTTTCTTGATTTTTGTCAATTTCACCCAAATTACCTAAATCCATTATTTTAGGGCTGTCAATTTCCTCACTACTATCACTTGTCACTCCTGTACCCCTTGTCTGGCAAACATTGGGAATTTCTTCCTTCTTGGGTGGTGTATACGCTTCAAGAAGGAAAATTTTACTTGAATTCCCACAGTCATATTCTTGGCAAAAAGGAATGTCTAATTCATCTGTAAAAATTGTTCTTAATTCAATTCGGAACAATCTTTCTCTCAACACTTCTAATGTTCCTGCAATCGACAATTGTTTTGCAAGTAACATTGTCACTATTTGTCCTACTGGCATGGCAATAATAGATGTCCAGATATCTCTTATCTCGGGACTATCTAAAAGTATTGCCATTCTTTCTTTATAA